TATATACATATACTTGTCGTAATTGTGTTGGTTTATGCAAAAATTCACTTTAGGAGGTGAGAAATGTGCTGTTTCTCGTTGCTGATCAGTATTGTTTGACGGCCTTTGCTTTTCTGGATGTTATATCTTGAACTTGAATTCAGTTGAATGGTGGTGTGGACCAACCGTGGTCTACATTGCTGCTTTTGAAAAACACAGATGTGTGCTGTATCTAGAAGAAACCAGTGGTGAGTCTACTTCTAAATGCTGCTTGCGGCCTTTTTCAGACGGAATATTTTTGTCGTTACGGATGTATTTTCTACTTTTGCTGCTGGGGAACGTGTGCATTGTAGGCAGGAGTAAATCAGGTGCTGAAATTGCACGATATGAAGTAAGAATGAAATTGTATTGTTTTTTGTTAAAAATATGGTTAACTTCCCTTCATTTTCTTTTCGTCAACAATTTTTTTTGAGAAAAGCTCAGAATATTCTGCATATCTATATGGATTTTTTGGACAAATTTGAGCAGCGCAAAAGATCTTTCTTGTTGGGTGCAAACGGTGATGAGAACATGAAAAGGAAAAAATTTGAAGATTACATACTTTCAAATTTTCAGTTGGAAAATTTTTGATTAGAAAGTGTAATTGTACGGCTTATCAAATTAAAAGGGGCTTAAGCTAATTAAAAGAAATGTCTTACTTTTTTCAAAGACAATTTCTGCTTTTTATTCATAATTTTGAAGAAAAAAAATAAAAGTTTAGCTTTCTTTTTTAGCTTTTATAGACTCTTTCGTTGTACCGCTGAGTAGCAGCTGCTGTAAGTGTTTGTAGTGTATTAGTTTCCAAAAAGTGTTCTTTTCTTATCTTCATCATTATCAAAACAAAAAAAATTATTACCTATTTTTCAATTTAAAGCATTAGAAAGAAAACACGTTGAACATTAACTCAATTAGCTTCGTAATAGTACAATGAAATATTCAGATTGAAGGAGTCAAGGGAGCCGAGTGAAGAATAGGTAATTTGTAATTTGAACATTGTGATGGAAGGGCTGTATAAGCAGATGAAGAGTCTTAATTGAAGCAGTAAGCATGTAGAAGTTATAAAAGTAGCTTAAACAGTTTTAAGGGAAATTATAGAAAAGAATTTTGCTGATTTTTTTATCTGTTAAGTTGATGATAAATAAGTTGAAAGGCATGTCTGATTGAGTATTTTAAAAAACTTAGTTGTGGTAAATAGACATGAAGCCGTTAGGGCAATAAAATAAATAGCTACAATATGTAAAGTTTTTCTATTTAGCCCTCTTGGGAGTCGTTAGACGCTAGACCAATTCCTAAATGGTACAACGAGGCGAAGTTGGGTATATTCACTCATTGGGGGGTATATTCTGTTCCTGCATTTAGGTAATTTGTTCTCCTTCTGCAGCGGTTTTTTTTTTACCGCAGATCACTGCAAAAAAACTGAATAGCACGCAGTTGCAAAACACTAAAGACTTGTGGCTTTAATAATAGAACTTTACCATTGTTGGCAAAAAATTAAATACTAAATCTACTATTTTATTTCTTGTTAATTAAATATTTTGGTTACCATTGTTCAGTGGTTTCACCTTATTTTAATCACACTCTAAAGATTATCTTTTAATAGTTTTTAAAACACGAGAAATGTGAGCGAATATGAATAATTATCGTATTATTTTGTACAGGCAATTTAATTCTGAAATGAACTTTTAAGGTCCGAGTGGATATGGTATTACTGGAAAGGTCCGCATCCTGACAGGGACGTGGAAAATTATATCGAAAAGAATTTTGGGTCTGGGGCAACGTATGCAGAATTTGCTTCCAAGGTAATTACTCTTTCTCCCAGAATTCCTTAAAATTATTACCTCGGCTTTTTTTCAGGCAGCTATGTTTTTATTTTGTTTTTCTTAAAAACGTTTTCTTAAAACTAGAAAAATAAACGAGAGGGTCAAATCAAGTAAAAAACGTATTGCCTAAATTAGAAGTAAATTTTTCTTGGTGATTAAGAAGAATAATATTAAATAGATTAACGAGTTTTTTCCTGACGCAACAAGTAATAAATTGAAAATTATAAGAAATTACACCTCTAGCTGAAAAAATGACCAATTTATTCCAAATTAGTGAGTTAAAGTGCATCTTTTAACACATGTCTGTTCCAGAAACCTTCCGTGGTGAGATTAGCAGAACAGTTCATGCATATTTTCGACTAATATAGCTAGATATAGCATTTTAAATTAGGTCGAGATAAATCTTCCGAGCTTCTGTATGAAGACGAAAGCGTTTTTGATAGTTATCGATCAGAGATAAAATAAAAATAAAAAATTTTTTGCTTAGGTTTTGACAAGTGACGAAACTTTGTAAAATCAATATGGAAATGTCTTGGTGACCGTAATAAATGGATAAATGGGTAAATAAATAAATAAAAA